CATTTATTCGTCGTTCTATATCCTTATCATATCTACCATCCCTGCTAAATGCACATCCCAAATACACAAACTCATGCACTTGCTCAATTAACTCTCCTTCTATTCTTATTTCACATACCGTTTTGCTTTCCTCTCTTTCAAAAACCATCATTTTCGTCTTACTTGCGTTCACTTTCATTCCCGTTTCTTTTAATGCCCAGCTCATTAATGTAACCATCATTTGCAACTCAGCCGCCGATGACGCAAATATGACTTGATCATCGGCGTACAAAAGGCATTTGATGTTTTTTTTTATTATTAATATTCTCATTTCATCTGCTGTTATTTATTTTACAGCACCCTTTAATCTTTTTTTTAATGTACAATCTTTTAACATTTGGTCTTTGTTTTTCTTTTGCTTTTTGTTTTGTTTTTTTTTTTACTTTTTTTAGTATGTGCCTTACATCTTATTATTACAAGAGTTTATGTGACTAAATTCTACTTTCTATAAATGCCTCAATTAATTTTTGATCCATTCTCCTTAAGCGCCTTTCTAACGCATACTTCAGCAAACTTTAAAAAATGAATTCGTCCGTCATTGTCGTTAATATCTCTGCTTAAGCTCTCTTCCTTAAGCGTAAAGCCTATACGGTGTTCACAGGTCATTCTGTTTATTGAGTATTTGGGACACTCTAAGAGTATATGTTCGATAGACTGTTGTGTTGCATGATCACAGTCACAGTAGGGGCTTTGCGCTAACCTAAACCTGTGCAGGTAAGCTCTAAAGCCACCATGTCCAGTAAATATTTGAGATCTTATGTTGTACATTTTAATTTTCTTCAGCGTCTTGTATGCTTCTTCGACGTTTGGGAAGAATGTCCTTGTGACTCTACCTGTGTCTGCACTGGTGTATCTTTCCTGCCACTTGAGTAGTGTATGCTTTCTGATGAGGTGCTTTGCGAATGATAGGGGGAAGCAGTCATAAACAGGTGCCTGTTTGGAGGTTTCTGCTGCGGATTTGCTAATTCGTCTGCTCTCTCATTGCCTGGGATACCACAGTATGCTTTAACCCAGAAAAACTTTACTTCTCCGTTGTGCTTTCTAACTTCTGCCACGCGATTCAGTATCTTAGCTGCCATGGGGTGCAGAGTATTTGGGTTCGATAAACATTCCAGCGCCGATTGAGAATCGCTAATTATGTTTGCATTCTTCAGTGATTGTTGTTTGAGCATGGTATCCAGACCTTTAAGTACTGCTGCCAGCTCCGCTTGATAAACGCTGCAATGGTTACCCAGTTTCAGGCGCGTTTTGAATTTCTCTTTTCCACCTATCCAGCAGGTAATTGCAGCGCCTACTTTGCCAGAGATTTTGCTGCCATCGGTGTAGATGCATGGCCAGCTGTTTTCAATATTGTCTGTTACTCTCTGCTGTGATTGAGCCGTATGTGATCTTAATCCGCTTCGCTGGATGGGGCAAGGTATGTGGATTTACTGGTTTCGCAAATGCTCTTCCCGGAAGGTATGTTATTGGCTTACCTCCCTTCGTTTCATAAAGTTCCATTTGTTCCAGGGCTCTTAGACCCAGTGGGATGATTCTGGCAAGTGTTGCGCAGGAGATTAGGGATGTTGTTCGGTGCGCTTTGCAGATTGCTATACTGAACGATTTGGTAATTCTGTCCAACTTTATTTTAATTTGTTTCCTATAGGCTGAGGCTCCCCAAATACATGCCGCGTATAGAACTGTAGGTTCTACAACTGTTATGTATATAGTCCTCAGAATTTCCGAATTGAGGCCCCAACTTGCTCTAGCTGTTCTAGACACCTTTTTATATAGTTTTATGGCCTTTTCTGCAACCCTATCCACATGCTTAACAAAGTTAAGGTTGGAATCGATTGTAAGCCCTAATATCGTCAAACTGTTTGTGTAGTTTATTACAGTGCTACCAAGGACTATTTTTGGAGAATCATACTTTATCTTTTTAGTAGTGATAATTGCTTGTGTTTTATGGGCAGCTAATTTCATTTTCCTCTTTTTTTCCCCAGTTTAGTATGTGATTTGGCGCTGGATTTAGCTCTATCTCTATGTCTTTTGCTGTTTTCCCCTTTGGTATTAATATTATATCATCAGCATATGCCTGTATGTGAATTCTGAAATCCTCTATTTCCTGTAGCAGGGAGTCAAGCTGTAGATTCCACAATAATGGGCCACAGATTGAGCCCTGAATGCACCCTTTGTTTGTCTCCTTGTTTATCTCAGTGCCTGCGTACCTGAGTTTTATATGCCTCTCAGACAGATAGCTGCTTAAAAGTCTTTGGATAGTTTTATCTAATTGTTTGTTGTTGATTTCCTTTGTAATAGCAGGCCACCAAGCGTTGTCAAAAGCCCCTTCGATGTCTAAGGATACTATGACAACTATTTCTTTGTCTTTTATGCCTTTTTCTATTATTTTCATGGCATCATACAGGGCATCCTCGGTTCCCCTTTGTGCTACAAAGCCATACTGTCTGTTGCTCATCTTATTTTCTGGTCTTAGTTGCCATGAGATTCGGTTTACGAACATCTTTTTCAGAACTTTCCCAAAGACCGGTAGAAGACTGATAGGCCGATAAGATTTAGGAAGACTGTAATTTTCTTTGTTGGGTTTTGGGATAATTTTGATTACCGCGCCTTTCCAAGTCTAGGAGAAATATCCAAGAGACAGGCATTTGTTGTAAATAGCTATAAGTACTTGCGGTGGCGCTTCATATGACTTCTCACATATATCCACCGTTAAACCATCCTCTCCTGGGGACTTCTTTGGACTCATGCTGTTAAATGCATTCTCTATTTCTGTGATAGTGAACGGTATTATGTTTTGCTCGTGCAGTTCATTACACAGGTCTTTTCTGATGGCTTCGGAAATATTTCTCATCTCAGTGTGATCGTATTCATTTTTTGTGATGTCATCGGTTGGGTAGAAAGTATCAGGCAACAATTTTGCTGATTCCCCTGGAGTTAAAACACAGCTTTGCGACGTCATTCTCAGTTGTTTGTGGTATGATCCTGTAAATGCCCTGCCAGATGTTTCATCTTGCCTTGCACAAAATTCCTTCCAGATAGCTGTCATCGTTTCCGTTAGGAGGTCTTTAAATTCCGCTTTGGCTAAAACATATTCTTCCATTACTATTTGTTTCCTTCTCTGGTTTGCGTATCTGATTTTCCTTCTTTTCTGAATTACATCTCTTTTCTTCCTGTTGAGTTCTTCCGTCCACCATGGTGTCTTTTTAAGTATTTTCCTGGACAGTTTAGGGATAGTCTTTTCACAAGATTCTTTCACACATGTGGTGTATAATCTTACAAGTTTCTCCAATGGATCTGATTCTATAATTCTAGAAACGGTTTCCTCGGTGATGTTGTGGTAATTTAGTTCTTGTCTTAGGGTGTGAATAAATTTGCTCCAGTCTGCTTTAGATGTATTGTAAATACGTGTGGATTGTCGTAGTGTATTTTCTTTCGCTGTGCTTAAATAATTTAGGTTAAATATTAAGGCTCTGTGGTCAGACAGTGTAACAAATTCTGGGTTTACTTTCCAGTTGGAGATTTTTCGCAAGAGATTGCTCGAGCATGCAGTGATGTCAACAACACTGGTGTAGTTTCTCTCTCCTCTGTATACAGAAAAAGTTGGCGTATTCCCTGTATTTAATATGTGTAAGCCTAGGTGGCCTAGCGCTTCTGCAATAGCTACTCCCCGCCTATCCTCCACATTGCAACCCCACCAGTGGGCTCTTCGCATTGATGTCTCCTCCAAACATGATATGATCTTCATTTAGGATACTTGCATAGGTCGAAATTTTGCACACATCGTCTTCAATCTGTTGTCCACCTTCCAAGTAAACGTTAATTATTACAATACTAAGGCCCTTTATTTTAAATTTACATGCTACAATGTTCTCAGTAATTGTTACAGGGTTGATAAAAAATTGTATGGTTGGATCGACGACAATGACGGCCGCTTTGACTGGTCTTTGAACATCGCTAGAAATTTTCTGTATTACCTTATGTTGGCAGGTAATGTGACCTTTTGCCCCTACATAAGGCTCCTGTACCAAAAGAATGGAAATGCCCAGTGTGATTGCTGATTGCAGACATTCCTGAAATGCAGCTCGCCCTCTTCCGAGGTTTAACTGTGCTATTTTTATTCCTACGTCCTTCGTACTTGTTGACTCTTGTGGGGAAACGTCGGTGTCTTTAGCAATACGATACAGTTGCTCTTGAGATCCTGTCCCATTTCCTCCACTCTAAGCACTCAGGGCTGTAGGCAGGATGGTCGCAACTTTGGTCATTAACCTTTCTGTGTATGCAATTTATACATTTTGGTGCCTTGTTCCTGTTATTGCACTCTCTTGTGTCGTGTTCCTCAGCACAGTAACCACAGTTCACTTTTTGTGCTTTACATTCCCGTGCTAAGTGAGAATAGCCTAAGCATCGATAGCACTGGACTACCGGTGATTGGTCAGTGGCTGGAATTATTTGAAATCCTATTCTCACTCTCTGATTCTGTAACCTTGCCCAGATTTGCGGGCTTACTTTCAAGATAATATTACACGTGTAGCTTGTGCGACCCTTCGTTCTTCTGATAACTTTCACCTGCTTTTCTGCTGCCGTAATATCGCTTAGAAGTGTGGTGTTCTGTTTTATTATAGCTTCTTCGATCTTACCATTTGACAAGTCGAAGACAACTCCTGTAAGACGCAAAAGTGGGTTTCTGGTGGCTGGTCTGTACACTGTTAAGTTGTCAGTTGTGTGCTTAAGTCGGTCTTGGAGAATATTTCTATCTCCTTCAGACTCGCAACCGATTAGAACCTTCTGGTTCTTGGCTTTCTTAATATGGTTGATGCCAATACCTAATTCGACTACATCGATCCCATCCTTAACTTGCTTCATGATGTCATCGCTTGTATTTCTGGGGTCGATAGATTCCACTATAATCGGAAAGTTTGGCTTTGTTACCACCTCCAAAAACGTGCGTGGAAGCTTTTTACGTTGCGGCATTAGTGAGTGCTGAGTTAATTCTATGCCTTTTTCTTCCATCATTTTAATTTGTACACTTCTTAACTCTCTCTCTTCGACCTGTGATTTATGCTTAAGATCGCTTCTAAGGCCCTCTATCGCTAGTCTGATAGGTGATGTCGAGTCAACTGCAGTATCTTTCAACTCCTTCATTTCCCTCCTCAGTTCCTCCAAGCTGGCCTGTACCGAGGGGAATGCGGAGCTCGAGACAGCCGAGGATAGGCTTCGGATCTCTAGAGATATTCTGCTTACTTCTTGTTTCAACTCAGATATTTCTGAGATTAACAAAAGTTTGGAGTCCGTGGTTTCCTGTTGCAATCTCTCGGCAGCAACATTTGCATCGTCTATATTCGCTGGTATATTGGCAGGTAATTCATATCGTTCTCTATTGGTGTCTATCTCCTGTATGATGCGCCGGAGCTCTTTGAGTTCCTCTGAGAGATAATTCCATTGATCTTGGGTTGCAGTCGGTGATTTTCTAAATGAGCTCATATTGTCTCGAAGTAACTTTACCTCTTCCGAGATAATCTGCAGCTGACTTGCCAAGTTTGAGCCTAAGCTTGTTTCGTTTCTGAAATTTGTTATTTCTCTCTTCGTTGCTGAAACTGCCTCACAGAGATCGTATGAGACAATAAGTCTGGTTAACTCAGTTTCCTTGTGGAGCTTCTCTATGCTCTCATTCAATGTGGCATACTGACCTAGACTTTCATGCATGAATCGGGCATGTCTTTGGGTGAGCCTTTCAGATTCTCTGGAGACATTCGCCTTATGCTTACTGGATTCGAGCATGTGTAGCATGCATGAGTCAGACAACTTAAGGATCATCTCGTACAGTGTGTGCAGACCCGCAACTACATTCTCGCGAATTTCCTTCTTTAAGTTGCCCGGCTTTTCTAAGTCTGCTTTGGCTCTTTGTAAGATTTCATTTGCGTGTCTGGGCAACTCATTTAGCAGCATACGGCTGCCACCAATCGACCTTGTGGAGGCGTCGAGGGAGATGTTGGTCTCGCCACTGTCAACATCAGATTCGCCTGTTTCCTCAGCCTTAGACGTGGCTTTGAGAGTTTCTTGAGCTTCTGCTGTTTTTGCCTGCCGTATCTGCGTACGTATTCTAAGCAGGCTAGATCCAGTTCTCGAGAGAACTGGAGATGACGTTGCATCACCGAGTTTTGGCGACGTGAAGAAGCTTGAGGCTGGCTCTATTTCAGGCTTCTCGTGCTGATCCCCCCGTTTGAGATTCCGTATGTTGCTTCGCTGTGCCGCCTCCAGAGATTTCCAGTGGTGGTGCACTCGGGTGTTGATGAGCTGACTCCTCCTCAGGGTCATTGATTAATGGTACCCGGCTTGTCTCTTTTGCACTTTTTGCTGTACATGTTGGTCTTTTTTTGGGTGCTGTGTACCTTTTAGAACCACTGGACGCGGATTTCTTTGATTTATCTGACATTTTTTTCTTCTTTCCTTATCTTTTTTCCCTCTAAAGAGATAGGTCTCTAATAGACAAAAAAACAAGCCCAAGAACGGCTGTCGTATTTTAAGGGGTTTAGAAGTTACAGCTCTCCAAATATTTTCAAGATGGCCGACCAATATTTTCAAACCGCTGCCAAAATGTGATTTAAAGACCCAACAGTGCTTGTCAGACTCGTTTTTCTCCAAATCTATGTAATGAGTATGGTTTCGCGAGAAAAATGTTGCTTTTTGTTTTTTTTTTCAATATTTTTTTTTTGGCCTTTGAGTGATTAGCCCTCAAAACGACAATTCTAACGAACCCATATACTGGTATATTAGTGCCAGTGGTTTCAAAGTAATAATGTTTTAAAAATTTTCAATATGGTGTCGATAAATACTGAAATTTTCTATCTCGAAAACCACTGATGCCAGACCCACCGAGATTGGGCTCGTTTAAAAGGTCTTTTCTCCCCCCTACACTTTGACAGTTATAGGAGGTTATATATGACAATTTTTTGACATAAGAGGTTTTCATCAATGAAAAGCTCAAGGGTGAACCGATCCAAACAATTGAGGTGTCGTCTGAAAGGCCGTTGCACAATGCATCTAGGTACACTCTGTAAATCAGCCGGACGTGTTTATTTCTCAAACCACTTGCCACGTGGTTTTTGAGAAAAACGCTATAACTCCTTGATTTTTCACTGAATAATCCGGAACAGATTATAAAATGTGCAGCTAATGAAATGCCAAATGATGCGCTAAAAAAGTTAGTAGGTTGCTGATCTAGATTTTGCAACGTTCACAGATATATGATAAAATTTTACCTGTTTTTGAGATTATTTGCAGTTTTCCGACAAAATCCACTCAGGCAAAATCCTGTGCTTGCGAACACTATGCACAGATCAGAGCTTACACTTTTCCGCGCACCCTGATGTATAACACAGCACAGTAGCACAAATAAAACCCACTTTTCCTAATTTTTGAAAACGGAGCTCAATAAAAATGATGCATTCGACATGGCAGACGGCACGGCACTCTGGCATTTGACGGTTAACTCGCCCATTCTTAACCCACATTCTTCATCTTTCAAAGTTTGCAAACACCTGTCCATAAATAGGTTGAATAGCCAAGGGGAAGCCACACAGCCCTGTATGACACCTTTATGGATGCAAAACCAGTCCGAGTAGACCCTGTTGATCCTGACACAAGCTAGAATCCCTATAGAGAGACCTCAATGCCGGTATCAAACGAGCGCTCAACCCATATGAGTTCAGTGTTTGCCATAACACATTCCTGTCCTCTCTGTCATAAGCCTTTTCCAAGTCCATGAACGCACAAAAAACTTTCTGGTTTTTAGCCAAAAACTTATCCGCAATCATGCGCATGGAAAATACTTGATCTGTACACCCCATTCCCTTTCTAAAACGCGCTTGCACATCCCAAATTTTTCGTCAGTTTCTTTCATAACTGTTTCAATTAACACCTTAGCATACAGTTTACCCACAATACTAAGCAAGCTGATACCACGGTAGTTTTTGCAGTCCTGCTGTGACCCTTTTCCTTTATATATTGGTACTATAACTGCTTTAAACCAGTCATCGGGTACCCGTTTTAATTCCAAACATAAATTAAACAAGGTGTACAGCAGGCCTGCCACCACTCCCTCTCCAGCCCTTAGCATCTCGAGTGATACTCTATCATATCCAGCTGCCTTACCTGCTTTCATGCTTTTCATTGCTTTCGTTATTTCATCTACACTTATCTCCATACCCCTTTCCAGTTCTTTCGGAATTTCTTGTTCATTTAATTCAGACGACTCTTCACTCACAAACACACTTTCAAAATATTCCTTCCATCTGTTTAAATTCGAAACTTCATCATTCAGAATACATCCATTCTCGTCTCTTATAGCATTAATTATAGGCTGTTTTGTATTTCCCCTGGCAGTTCTTACGAGTTTCCAGAACATTTTTATATTAGCCTGGAAATTATCAGATATCCTTCTATCATTATTATCCGTTCTTTCTTTCTTTTTCCTTTCAACTACTTCTTTCACTCTCTTATTTAGACGTCCATATTCTGTCTTTTTTCTTTCAATCTCATCATTCATACCACCAGAATTACCAGCTTTATTTGCTAGTAAATCTAACCATGCTTTCTTCTTTGATTCAACTTCCACCCGTACCTCATCATCCCACCACAATGTATTCCTTTTCCTTTCATTTGTTCTCTTACTTACACCACTTACTTCGGTGACTGCATCCACCAAATCTTTCTTAATATTATCCCACACAGTATTCAAGTCTAAATCATTCATACAAAACTCATTCAAACACCTAATATTTTCTCTCAGTCTACATTTATTCTTCTCTTTCACATCTTCATATTGTAACTTCTCTATTCTTATACGCTGTAACGCAGTGGTGGACACAGATGTCCGATGCCGCCAACGCTTGAAAAGACCATTAATTCGACATAAGACCAAGTAATGTGCCTACGTTGGACCCCCGGTAAACCCTTGTATCTACGACTGCGCTCCTCATTTTTTCATCCACAATTACGAAATCTATCATGCTTCTATCATCACCTCTTTCCCATGTATACATGTGAATCTTCTTATGACGAAAAAAAGTATTCGTCACAAAGAGATTCTTTTCAACACATACGGTGAGGAGGTTTTCACCATTCTCATTTATACTTTCATCACCAAACGTTCCCAATATCCTTTCATAACCAGACCTCTTCATCCCAACCCTTCCATTAAAGTCTCCTAACATAATAATATTTTCATTTTCCTTACATTTTGTCAACACCATCCTTACCATGTCCCAAAACTGCTCTCGGATGTAAGTGGGCTTAGACATGTCTGGGGCGTACACCCCTAGCAAGAACAGCTTCTTTAAGCCCACTTTCATTCGTATCCATAGCAGCCTCGGGCTTACACATTCATACTCTTTCACACATTGACCCATTCTTTTTGAAAGGATGAAACCGACTCCCTGGCATGCCCGTTCGGTCTCGTCTACACCAGACCAATACGCGTGCCATGTGCAGTGGCATCCTTTCCCTTTCGTTTCGTCTCATTTACACATAACACATCTATTCCTCTATCATTCTTCATTTCGCATACTTCATCCATCTTATCATTCATTGCTCCACATACATTCAGCGTAGCCAGACGGGCTTCCCCCCTTTTTCGCCCCTCCGGGCGACAGAAGGTGACGGGTGGCGAACCTCGTCGCCGTTATATTTTTCACGGAGTATTATTTTTGAGAAAACACAAATTCCATGTCTTTTTCCGTTATATAAAGAGTTGAGTTGTATTTTTTATTTCTTTTATCTCCTGACTCATGGTGCGAACAAGGGGTGGTGGTAGATTTTACGCCGCTACCACACGGCGGGAAGCCTAGTCTATTTTTTTCGGCTTTGTCGCTCGTTTAGCACCACCATCCATTATATTTTGTCAATTTTAAAATTAACAATATATAATTAAAAAACTCAGAAAAAAAGGTAAACAATAAATTATTGTTATTGAGATAGTAAAACGAATATAATATAATAATTATTATATAACAATTAATATAATAAGACGAAAAAATAATATAGGTAGAGAAATTTATATTAACTGATAGGCAATTAAATAAAAATCTAGACCATGATTAATTAATTGAAATTAAACATAGGCACATTATTGCATTCGAGCTGTATTATGTAATTTAATATAACCTAAGTTACAAGAAAGAAAGAAGTGTTTAGCATCATTAGGTTTTAAATAGAATGATGAGTTGCAAATGCATTAATGGCCTACAGCGGTACATAAAATATCACTCTGGGAAAATATAAAACTTACATACTTCACTAATTAAAACAGTGGTAAATTAAACAATTAAAAAGAAATTTAAAAATAATTATAGGAAATAATTTTCTATTTTAAGATATTAAAAAGTTATAACAAGATAAAAATAAGTAATATGTGAAGTAATAATTAAAAAATAAAATAAAGATGGATTTAGTATTTCAGTAAAATTAAGTATGGGTGATCGTTCATACCTATCATGCTATTATTATCACCTTCATAATTAAAACTAGGTATGGTAAATGCACAGAAGAGTTATGCTGACAGATGCATACACTGATTGCCAAAATATGTAAGCAACAAAATAAATTGTTGTAGTAAGAGGGAATTATGTAAAAATACTGATATAAATAGTGACTAGATATATTGTGCATAACCCATTTTGGTTGCTATTAGTAAAATGAGGTTAATAATGTTGTGCTTAAAACCTTATTATATATAATAATGTATATACAATGTTATGTAATATACATTCAGTGGCAAATTTCTGACGTTAGATGGTAGTTAATAATATTACAAAAAAAAAACATTAAACGCATAAAACCGTTTGAAATGAAATTGACACTTCTCAACTGGATGGAGGGAAACCAATGGAATGAGAAAAATTTGGGTTTTAGTCTTTCATTGAGAGTAAATTAGATAGATATTATTCTATATTAAGTAGAAATGCTTATATTTTTGGGAATGGTAGAATACAATACAAAACTTTGAGCAAAACAATATAGTTATAATGAATAGTAAACTTACTACAACCAAATAATAGTTATGTTGTACATTTTTACCCAGAGTTGATAAAAATCCTGCTTCATATATTAACAAGATAGATAGGATTCTATTCATTAACTATTGAGGATTCAATACTTTAAATTAAATAAAAATATGAAATTTTAACATACAATCTAAAATTGAGCCAAGTAAACAAAAAACAGTCAGAGAAAGTCTTTCAAGTCTATTCAACAAGATCATAAAGCAGTGTCAAAAGCTAAAACTTGATCAAATTAGTAACGAGGAATAATAAAATTAT